CCTGTTCGACTCATGATTCGACCCTGTTCGACTCATGATTCGACCCGGTTCGACTCATGATTCGACCCGGTTCGACCCACGATTCGACCCTGTTCGACTCATGATTCGACCCTGTTCGACTCATGATTCGACCCTGTTCGACTCATGATTCGACCCTGTTCGACTCATGATTCGACCCGGTTCGACCCATGATTCGACCCTGTTCGACTCATGATTCGACCCTGTTCGACCCATGATTGGACCCTGTTCGAGTCATGATTCGACCCGGTTCGACTGATGATTCGACCCTGTTCGACTCTATCGACCCTGTTCGACTCATGATTCGGCTTTGTTCGACTATCGTGTTCGTTCGACCGTCTTAATTTGCGACGAAAATCGGACTCCGTTCGACCGTGTCGGTTGAATCATGAGTCGAACACCTCAGCCTGGGATCTCTGCATCTCTTCTGGCTACAAAAAGTGAAAGTTTTTTTGATGACAACCAAGCTGGAACTGTACGCGTCTCTGATCACATGTGTAAGTAGTACCTTTAATCAGCGATGAAACAATACTCAATCAAGGATGAATCACTGTTATAATAACACTAGAAAATTACTAAAAGTCGCTGATTCATCGTTAATTCATTGGTTAAACAGGTTTGCGTCAATTATGTTTCGGCTGTTTTCAACATTGTTTCCATGTTGAAGTTTGAAGCCATGCTTGGATTATTGGAAAGAGCACGTTTTAATTTCATTTTTATAACAGAAAACGATTAGGTAAATAAAGTTTATCTCTTTTCTTGACATTATCGACAAACAAACTTATCTCTCAAAATAAGCCAGTTCAATCAAAAATTACTTCCCTCATGCGATTCTCAAAAAAAACCGGCACGTGGGTTGATTTGTAGTTCACAAACACATTTTGCCCCCTTATGATAACTTGGTATAATCATTAAAAACATCGTAAAATTGTTTTTTGGGGTGCGAATCGGTAGTAGAAACGAGATATTATTTTCCAGCCAAAAACTTTCTATTTACTATTTTGAACGCAGTTCAATGTGTTTAGACATTCGTTTCTCGGTGTATCAATCATGTATAGAACGAATACGCTGTATTCACATAAAAAAGATTATTTTTAAGTACTGGAAACATGAGTAGAACTTCGTAGAACTCATTCAGCGTTCGGAAGCTTAAGTTCCAGGTTGATACTGGAACCTAAATAACCTTGGTTTTTTTGTAGAATTGCAAAATGAACTTTAACTCATTCAATTCATCAATAATTTTCAAATTGGATGAAACTTTGTTTTTGGTCTTTCATCGGGATTCGATCCTGATCATCAGGTCTAGGAGTCTAAAATAATACGCACCGCCTTTGAACCAACCGGTTGAGTTTAACTATTTTAAATTTTTTTTTAATTAAGAAAAGGGAAAGGTTTTTGGTAGGACGCTCACCTGAGTTGAACGCAAGTTACCCTCGGAAACAACCCGAAGTCCCATGGGCAGCGAGTTTTGAAAAAATTTTACAAAAAAATCGCAAGACTAGTTTAAACAATTGAACTTGTGCGCTTGTTGGTAGGAATGGCGCTAAAGGCGCAAAGGAAAAATCAGCTTGGAGCAAAATTTACTTAGTTATTTTCTTTCCTATTTGAAATCTTGCTAACCATAAATTTAAAATGAATTTTCGATAATTTTAGAGGTTTTTCTGCAAAAAGAAAACAATAAATACGCCCCCGAATAAAATTGAATTAAAAGTCATTATTTTCTTTCTTTTTTTTTGCAACGATTGCGCTCATACGCCAATTTGTTCGATATATGCATTTTTACTGATTGGTTATGTTTTTAAAGTGCCATTGCACAATTTTTTTTGAAAAAATTGTCGTTTGATAAGATTTGAACTAACAGTCTTATCTAAGTTTTTTTGAAATATTAAGCAAAATTTTAAAATCATTTTTACAGTTCCAGTAAAAATGTATTTTGGTTGCTATGTTAAATTACTGCTGGCTTGTGTCTACTCCCCAAGCTCCGTTTCTCATTTTTAATTTTAAAAAACTATTCAAACATTGTCATTATGCAATGGCATGGTTTAATTTAGCTTGAAGAACAACTTGGAAGTTGTGAGCAGATGTGTTCTTCAAATTTTTATTCGTAAAATCACGCATTTAGCCATAATTACACCTAAGTCAACAAGAAAAAAAAATTTTGAAATGCAGGCAAGAAATAAAAGCTCCAATGTATTTTATAATTTTTCAATTTTTTGCATAAATGTAAGCTGACGTTTAAAAAAAAACAAAAATTGTTTTGTTTGCTTGAATTATTTTTTCTCAAAATGGCCAACTACTCAAGTCACGTGCGTGTTTCTAATTTTTGTCAAATTTTTTGATTTATCTTACAAAATTAACTCTCGAATAGTAATATCTTATTTATCCGGCTTTCGAAGAAAATGCGGAAAATTTATTGGTTTTTTGGAATGTTTTTTTTTTATTTAGTCAACTTTCTACTTATAGCGTTGGTCAAAACTTCTCACCATACAATTGCATATCTTTCCATACCTACAGAAAATTGTATGAAAAGCCTATGATGAAATTTTTCCATATACGAAAAATGTATGACAAGCAATTTTTCATAACAAAAATTTTTGATATTTTTCTTAAACTCCAATTTTTGAAGTTGTTTGGGTTGTGTTTGTAAACGGACACAAGTGACAAAGATTTTGGTTTACTCGAAGCTAGAGTCACTAAAAGCTGGAAGATCTTGGATTTACAATGCATAGGAAAGCACCTGCATAGTTTAACACAAATGATATAACGAAAGTAGTAAAATTTGATGATAAAAACTTTTGAAAAAATTTTAAACCAGGTTTTGATCAAGGCATACAAAAACTTGCCATAAAAAATAGATGTTTTGAGATTTTTAGAAAAAAATTATTAACCAAAAGAAAAAATCTAACATTTGTGCATCCGAGACTACGTTATGCACATTAAAAAATAATTTTGCTTGCAGAATAAAAAAATTAATAAATGTTTGTTTGTGTACAAAATTTTTTTGCGCTTTTTTTTGTGTCCATTTCAAAATTATTCAAACAATTTTTTGTTGTTGCTATCAAAATAAATTATCATAAATTTTCCATATATGAGAGCTATATGATAAGAATTTTTTCCAAAAATTGTTTAAAATTAGTTTCTATCATTATTTTTGAAAATTTAATGATACTGACAGCTTTCTTATGGGGAAATTGTAAGATAAGTATTTTTTCCATTGAGTTGATGTCTGGAAATGTATGATGAACTTTTTTTGTGCATGGAATTGTATTGAAAGCATTTTTGACAACAAGTTTTTATACCAAGGGAGATATACTGTTGTCCTGCGTTCAAATATGAAAAGTTATTTCACATGTGATAATTTTTTTGTAAGGTTATGCATCCCTGTGCCAAATTCTGAAATTTGGTAATTTGTAAGCAGATTCTGCAACAAAGTTTTTTTCTTTGGTCTTCTTTTTTTGTTGTTTATTTTTGTCCGGACAAACTTTTAACATGCGTAACGACTTGTATCTGGATTCTAGAAACCTGAACTCAGTGAACTGTGCGCCTATTCAGAGCAAAGTTTGGACGCGTAATGTGGAAGTTCAAAAATTGGTAATTTGGTCCATTTAGGATCATTAAAGCGCGATATAGTGCGTGCTTATAACACGAGTAAGCGGCAAAACATTGCGTTCCAAATTGAATTGAGGCCAGCAATAAAATCTTGTTGAGATTCTAAGAGAAACAAAAAACACACTTTTCATCTTACATCGCATGAGGGGGAAAATTTAAAAAAAAGAAAAAAGATCCTTTTTTGATTATTTTGTCGATTATTCTGCCAAAAAAAATTAATTGACATCAAAGTGCAGTCGGAAGCTTCAGGGCCTCACCTTGATATAGAAGCAGTCTCGTTTTAGCTCTAAAATTGAACAAACATTTCATTAAGATTTTCCATGGAACCATGCATGGTGCGACAAACGGTTGCACAATTTGGTCAACCCCGGTATCGCTATTCACCCTCGAGTTAGATAACTGAACATGGAAACTTATATATCAGTTTTTTTTTGCCAAGAATTGAAGCGGAAACAAAACTAGCCTTCTTCGTTTGATGTTTTTTTTTACAAAAAAAAATCAGACTTAAAGACACCAATGTTTACTGCAGTATTTCAGACTGAAATAAATAACAAAAAGAGAGTCAAATTGTTTTCTAAAAACAATCAAATAGATTTGAACGAATGAGTTTATGCCGTTAATTGGGCATTGCTGTATTTACGGCGCCTTGAAGACTTCAAATTGGCACTTTTGATGACGTTTCCACAGCAAAGATTTGAAAACAAACAACGGCCAAGTAATGCTTGAAAAAAGTGAAACTGTTAAGTGCGAAAAATTATTCTGCTGTGTTCTGTTTGTGTTTATTGGCAGTCTTGCACGTTTTTCTCTTGCTGAACCGAGTAAATTAAAACATAACTTCAATTTATATTTTCTGACAAAAATAAAACAAGACTGCTCGTATTAGGGCGAAGCCCTGAAAGTTCCGACTGCCTTTTAAGGTCTATGGAGCAATAATAACTTCAAAAAAATTAAATATATATTAAAATCATCCCCCCAAACGCCAAGTAAAGTACAACATGATCGATTCGCTCCTATTAACAAACCAATTATGGCAAATAAGCTTCCTTCAACCAACTTGTAACAAATTATAAAATGGATTAAACCTCCGCTCACGCGTTAATCGCCCAAAATATCTCGCGCGTTAATTGTCCCAGATTGGCCAAAATGGAAATCTTTATACTCCCACAACTTTACGAAAAAGATCACACGCAAAAAAAAATTTTAACCTCAGGATGACAATACCTTTCGAATGATATATAAAATTCCGTCAAAAAGGGTTGGTTAAAAAGTCGAAATTATGTTATGTTACTTCGCAAGTGTTTGGAATAAGAACCCACGAAACAAAGAGTAACGCAGCTAATATATGCACTAACGATTGGGCGCTGTCTGCGTGATCGTCGGCTGATGTGTTTGTCGGCTGTGCGGCCGTTATGGCGTGATGTTGCTGTCGCTTTTCAGCGGGGACGGCAGCGGAGGAGGAGGCTCGGTGTGCTTTCGCCAGCGAGTCCGCCTCCATCTTCAGACGTCGCTTCTCTTTTGCACGAAACTGCAGCAGAACCTGTACACCAAAAAATGAGATTTTTTCTTTATTTCAACAAAATTGTTAAACTATTTCACTCAAAAAAGTGTCGGAAAAGTACCTGTTTCAGCTGAAAAAAAATTAAAAAAGAAAATACGCTAGAATTCATCGTCTGTCCTTCAAAGCAGGGGCGAACCTAGGATTTTCTCGGGAGGGGGGGGGGATTTTCAACCTTCGTCGACTTTTTTTTAGTTCGACCAAATTGATATTCTAAGATCTCACAAAGCATTAAAAAGACCCTGTTTTGGTCAAAGGAGGCAAAATTTTGAAAAAAAAACTGGCCAAAAAAGGCATTCTTGGAACGCTTTCGGAAAATGTTGACCAAAATGTAACGCTTTTTTGGCGCGCGCTCCCCCCTCAAATTAGAATATATTGGCGCCGCAGGCACTTTTAGAAAAAAATTTTAAAGATTCTCAGAATATCTTAATTTCAAAATGTTTCCAAGGGTCCGTCACCAAACATGGATATTTCAAAATAGTACAAAGGGTCGGCAGGTGGCCGAATCCCTGGGGTGAGGGGGGGGGGGGTGGCATCCGCTCCCTTACCCCTAAATCCGCCCCTGCCTCAAAGATTTTCGGAATATCATAATTTCAAAAGATTTCCAAGAAACTCTCTATTTACTACCTTATTACATGCTTGTTTAGCAGGACGAACGTAGAACGTTCTTAAACATCAAGTAAGGTCCGAAACAGCCAAAACTTCTCTGCAATTTGTTTGTACTGTTATTTAGAGATGAAATGTATTTCATGGTAGTTTTCGGCTAACTGAAAATCTAACATAATTGAGCTAGAAGCTAATTTCTATAATTTAATTAATTTCAGAGAGAGGGGAGGGGAAATTGGCTCTTTTTCCATCCCCCCCCCACCTGCAAATTTTTATATTTGAAGTTTCTGTTCACCTTGTCCGATTGTCATGACAATTGACATGCAGGCTAATTAGGCCATGACAAACATATTTGGTCTTCATAATTAACCTTGTAAAATCACTCGTTAGACCATAAAATTCATGTTTGAGTGAGGTGGGGGGGGGGGGGGGGGGAGGAAAAAGAGCCGGGAAATTAAATAAAGAGGGGGTGGGGAGGGGGAAGGGGGGGGTCAAGTAGCTTGGCCTACCTTGATGTAAACGATGACCATTGTGACGCAGTTGACGATGTTGAGGATGATCTTGGCCGAGTACCAGTAGATGTCACTGCCCATCTTCACCACCTTCCCCCCGTAGCAGAACAGGGCGGGACTCGCACAGCTCACAGTGCCGAAGAGAAACGCGCCCCAGATCAAAGAACGCACCGCACTCCTACACAGAAATCAAGCAAAAATCAGCCCAAGTCAATTCCCCCCCCCTCACCCTAAGTATTTTAGAGAGCAGGATGTTAACTTTGGTTCTGAGTTGTTGTTCTCGGCCAATCAGAACCGAGTTATTCACACGCAGAGCATGAAGATATATTTTTTAGTTAACCAGCCCGGAGGTCTAACCCGGAGTTTAATTATTAAGGTTGATATGAGCGCATATATTCATGAGCGGCCTTTAAACATGAGCGCCCTTTAAACTATGACTTACTTGCTACAGCTCACCATACAAATTGCAGCGCACGTGCGATTTGAACCAGCAATCACATGATTGCTGGGCACCACTGCCGAAGCGCCACAATGCCACAATTGGACCTTAACCTTAACAATTTTAAGTTGACCTTAACCAAATCGAACATCTAAAAGTGATTTTTCAAAATAAACATCTTAGTTTGTACTCCTGGCAGTTTAACTTCCTGATAGCCGCTGCTATACTTTTATTTTTTTTTAAAACTAGAAACTGATCTCTTTAAAATTTTTACATCATAGAGAAAAAAAACTAATGAGCTCCTCAAAAGCTTGAAAAACAGAACCTGTAATTATATCTAAACTTCCAACGTCAAACTTAACCCTTTTAACATCACGCAAAGACTACTTATCCAAAAACCACGTCCTATTATGCTCAAAGACAAAATTGCAGAGCGAAACGTGCCACTAGACAAAATTTGAATAGAAGCGAATTGTTCGTATACTGATTTAACTAATTTCACTTAAATGATTAAATATTATTTTGATCATACGCAGAAAAATGTTCTTACCGATAAAATAAATTCAAAAATTGATAAAAAAGTTTCTAAGAAAATTAGAAGCAATTTTTTTTTGGTAATAATTATAATTTTTGTCGACGACTTTAACGATTCCAAACATGCATACAAAAAAGGAAAAAAATAATGAGAAATTGGTGTAAATGAAGGAAGTTTCATCAACCTATTCAGGCTTGTTTATTTATTTTTTTTTTCGATTGACTTTTTGTTAAACGACATGTTTCCTTGAAATTTACGGAAAGCATTTAATTAACGGTTCATTTGTTTGTTTCAGAGCAAAGGTTCATTCGGTTGTTTCGGCTTTCGAAGAAAGTAATGGAAAACTAATTTTTTTTGTAAAGCTTTAATTTTTTTGCAACCCAGGATAACGTCCGCAAAAATTCCGAAAATAGATTGAAAAGTCAATTAGCAACAAAAATTGCCTTAAGAAACTCACAGCAATCATCTACTCGTAATTTTCGCAATCAGAAATCTGATTTGTTAAAAATTAACGTTATAATGAGATATATATAAATTTCTTCCTAATTTGAGTAAAAACTCTGGTAGCTAAAAATCTCATTGCTCAAAAAGTTTGTTGGTTGTTACTCCGAACATTTGAAAAATAGCGATGAACTTTGTATTCGGTTGTGTTTTAGTTTTTTTCTTTTTGTTTTCCACGCAACATCAGCTACCACAAAAAATTATCGAAATGGGTTGAGTGGTATATCAAAAAAAAGCCCTTTCAGTCGTGATTTGAACGACATTTAAAAAGTTTGAAAAAGTTTAAAAAGTTTGAAAAACTTTTAACACTGTTGAGAAAAAACCTTTGAAATTTTAGATTTTTGGTCTAAATTCGAACTGATATGGTGTGAGCTGTGTCAGTACAAAACAGCCCAACACAAAACAGTGCAATGCAAAACAATCCGGAAAAGTAGGAATATGAACGAAAAAGCAGTCCGATACAAAACAGTCCCAAGAAATAATTGTTTTAACCAGCCGGAAGGCCGAAAATTGTCCTTTGTTCATCAAACATAAACAACGAAATAGTGACCGCCACAGTCGCGCCACCGTGTTGCTAGCTTGCCAACTGAGGATAGCAGTCTAAGCCGGACTGTTTTGTATGAGACTGTTTTGTTGTGGATTATTTTTTTTGTTCATTGCATGAATTTTGGCACTGTTTTTTATTGGACTGTTTTGTGTGGGACTGTTTTGTATATGCACCGGTGTGAGCGTGTATACTTACAATAGCTTATTTAGGCTTATTTTAAACCGTGAAAACTCAATTGTACTCAAATAAAAGTAGTTTTTGGAGTTTTTAGCTCCATTTTGTAAGCAAAGGTGAAAAATTCCAAAAATTTCTGCAAAAAAATTTTGAAAAATTTTTTCAAATTATTTTAAAATTTTTTCAACAATTTTTTATTCATTTTTCTAGTCAATTTTCTTCAAAAACTGTTTTTCCGAAAAGCCTTTTTAGTACGAATTTAAAAAATGAATGATTTCTTTTTATTTCGTTCAGATCTTTTTATCACACCATCATTACGAGGCCCAACTGTGCAATTTGTGAATTGTAAGCGGATTCCTCAACAAGGACGCTCCCTTCGTTCTTTTTTTGTTCTTTGATTCTTTTTGAGCATTCCAACAAACTTTTATCATGTTTAAAAGCTTGTATCTGGAATCCAGGTACATACAGACACAAAATTGTGCGCCTATCCAGTGCACAGCTTGGCCTTGTAATGATAGGCGAAAAAAAAATACACTAATTTGAAAAAAATGTTTTTGTATTTTTCTAAGACTGTGGTCGGAAGATTCTGTGCTACCTGCACAATAACCGGCTATCCTTATTTTATATGGCTACATAACTCATCATTGGATGACATTGTTCCTTGATTTAAAAAACTGAAAAAATGAAAAAGCAACACAGTTTTTTCTTCGTTTCGAATAGTTTAAAATATTTGTTTACTTCCATCAAGAAGGAAAACAAATTATTTTCCTGAGTATAATATGTGATTTTTCTTTTAAAAAATCTAATAGTTCTCCTAATGGGCTGTTTATAAATATGCATCTATACAGACTTCTATTCTTCAAAAAAGCAAAATATCTATGAGAAATTTCTGATGAAAGACGCCTTAACCTCTTCCAAATCCTGATCAACAAACGCCACCAATCTGTGTCGGTTATTGGAAAAAAACTACAATTTCATCATTAATCTGCGACAATTTGAAGCATAAAGAAGCAGCGAAATTATTATTTTCCTCAGAAATCATTTGAAAACTTCCGTTTTTATGAGCCATGAAAATGAAAATAAGTTAGTAGAGCATCTTTTTTGTGCCCTGGGTTTTATTTTTCACTTTAATTGTATATTTGGAGTATAAAGGTGCCCCAGGACAAGTGTGGAAAAATCAATGCAAAGTTGCTTGCCGATATTCAAAGCATCAGAATCTATCCACAATTCCTTTTTACCGATTACCAAAAAAGACTGAAATTAGGCGTCCTACTGAAAAGATATGTCAGTAAGACCATTGATTGTTATCTGACAACACACTTTATGGCGCCAACACAGAACACCAAATACGATAATTCTATGAGTTGAAAAACTCAATAAGTAATTAAAATGCAATTTAACATTCATTGTTTCCGACTTTTTTTCAAAAAAATCTTTCCGATTGTTATTTAACAATCAATCCAAAAACACCTACGTCATTATAAGCAATTCGAAATTCTGATGAACTGATCAAAATATAAAAAATTTTAAACAGCTCAGTGCGCGAATAATTTTATCTCGTAAACGAAGCAGAAGGAATAGCATCAAAAAGGAAATCGAAAATGTAATGTCAAGAAACATTTCAGTCACAGAGAAATACTTTAACCCTCGCTTTTCTGATAGATAGTTATTTTTTCTACGATTAAACTTTTTTCTAATTTTTGGCAAACACTTCTTTGAAAATACTTTATAAATCAAGCTTTCGGTTGAAATGATTTTAAGTTTCTGCTAACCCCGGTGTTTTGGAATAATTTTCAAAAAAAAACAGTGGGAAAAACAAAAAATTTCAGAGGGGTGGAAAGAAGAGGTAGATTTTACAAGAAATCGAACCTTTGCTAATAGTCATATACAATGCCCCTCCCAAAAAAAACTTACCATGCCTCCTTAAAAACTTTTACAAGAACCGGAAACTTTGCAAACCTTTATATACGATGCCCTGCTTCCAAAAAGTTGGAATTTTTAATTTTACTTTAGATGATCAAACCCTGATTATATAATAGTTATAACAACATGCTTGAATTTGGAGAAATATTTAAATTGATTGTCTTTTCAAAAGACGTTTTTGAATGTAAAAAAATGAAGGCCCCTTTTTATTCAAGTAAGTAACGGAAACTAATTAAAAATTTGGTAACCTGGGTTGGTGTCGCACAGATAGTTATTGCTCTTTCAGGCCCTGATCATTAGCCACTTATCCATGAACAGGACAAAAACATAGATAGAGTTTGCAAGTAGCGCTTAAATATCTTTGGATCAACGCTGATTTTTGGAATGCCATCGAAACGCTGAATTATCAAATGAAGCAGCGCTGCAAATTAGTTAAAATGATCATCGCTGTTTCAGGACCTGATCAGTGGCCACTTATGCACGACCAGTACATTTGCAGCAATTATTCATGGTATATTGTACTGCTGAATCCGGGATGACTATCCATACGAGGTAAACCCGTGAACAAAAACATAATAATAGAGACAATTTTTCATAAGATAAATGAATCATAGTTTCTCATGCAAGACATTTACTCTTAAAATAAATTTTTGCTAGCAGAGTCAACCTGCCTGCTAGTAAGAACGATGTTTATTCAAATATTATAGATAGCAATTAAGGCTTATCAATCAATTTAACGGAATAGAACTCCAATAAAGCAAAAATCTTACCCATTGAACGCCTCATTGATTGATATCTGACAAAGTTCAAGCAAATCAGAATTCTAATGAACATTCAATAACTTACTCAAAGTGGAATTGAGAAAAATTATTTTTCTTTTTTCAGTTTTTAACATCGTTTTTCAATTAACATATCTTCTCAGGGGACAATTTCACATTATTATCTCTTACATGGAATAATTTATCTCTAAATTTAGTTTCATACTTTTTTGTTCATGTAGTGCATATGATTGATTGTTGATCCACTTCTTCAAGACAGTAATGAAACAAATTTACGGGG